GAGAGAGAGAGAGAGAGAGAGAGAGAGAGAGAGAGAGAGAGAGAGAGAGAGCACTCGAATCAAAGGATTTGATGAGATTATTTATCTAATTATCACTGTATTTCCTATTATCCCACGTGTCCTCATCACAATTAATCATTGTCTTTTTTCGAAAGATGTATTACGTTCTCAGTATTATCAGGGGAAGCTTTTTCTAATTCAATACAGATTGTGACAGTCCTCTAGACAATCTGTTCTGCAGACTACTCAGCTTTATCCTGATGGGGTTTTGTGCACCTGACGATCCACCACCAACGGAATAAGGTATCTGAAATTTTTTTTATTGTTTTGTTTAATATGCTTATCGAGTCTTATCTGGTAGTATGGCGATCAGCTAGTTCCCAAACGCATGAAGATTTGCCCGTGGAAGAATTAGTTTTTAAATCTGTTGGAGAATGTGGAACGACAGAGTGTGACATTGGTTGAAGGTCCAAAAAGAATCCTGTAAACAATCTAGCATGCAAACATAATTTACTTGGTGATGAGGCAAACATCTCACGGAAAGGAAAGCCAATTGTCTTCTTGGAAGAGAACTTCGGAATAGAAATCAACTGACAACTTAAAGTCGTCTAGTCGCTCTTGGAGAGTTAACGCCATTATCACAGCGCAAATTATTGTAATAATGTTAATGATTTTTTAAAAATAAAGAATTTTTGGAATTTTATCCTGCTCGCCATGCAGAAACAAGGATGGACAGACTCATTGGCTGATTCTGGACATTTAAACTTTTATAACACTTAGACATTCCCCTCGTGTTTACAAAAAAATCAAGTCAAAAAAGATAACGTACTATGAGATAACTACTACGACATGATCGGGCTCATTAGTTTACTGAAGAAATTTTTCTTGAACGTCACCGAAGCAGTGGGAGAGTGTTGATACATAATATATTGTTACATTCACAACCACCAATAGGTACTGATCTGCATATACCTGCAACCACTCTCCCTTCCGTCATTCACCTCCTCATTACACACAAAGGTATACTCACGTATACTCTTACCCACTCTGTCTGTCTGTCTGTCTGTCTGTCTGTCTGTCTGTCTGTCTGTCTGTCTGTCTATCTGTCTGTCTATCTATCTGTCTGTCTGTCTGTCTGTCTGTCTGTCTGTCTGTCTGTCTGTCAGTCTGTCTGTCTGTCTTTTTCTCTCCTTTCAGCTGTCTGTCAGTAAAAGCAAGTTATAACATCCCCCCTCCCCCCCAAAAAAAAATTCTACAAGAAGATGCGTTCTTTATCGTTGCTATTGGTCATACAACATTGAAATAGTCTATTTTTGTTTTCACAGACTGACACAAAGTTAGCATGCCAAGCAAGTATTGAATACAGTAAGCCGACTCCAGAATGTTGGCAGTTGAGACCCACCCTTAAGGGAGGTTCCAGAGTTCTGAAAGCTGGAGGAGTAACCTGTACTTCACAAACTGCTTGTCTTCATCCTGCTCCTTTACAACGAAGAAAATATGATTCGTGAAACTTTCATCGATTACGGGAACGGCACTAATAAATATTAAAAAGTTCTTCAGAGAAAAAAGATTGTTTGTGTTTTCTTTCTTCTCCCTTTTATTTGACGAGGGAAGCAAATTAGCAGGCTGATGTTGGTTTTGAAAGATATTAGCTTATAAACAACATAATTCGTTTTTAATATAGCCATACTTACCATACATGGATTTGATTTGTTTGTTTCGTTTCTGAGATATTAGGTATTTTCCAAGTTACTCCAGTGAAAACAATCTCTGGTTTCTGGCTACAAAGGACCAAGATTATGACTTCGCCTAAATAAAGGAGAAGGAAATAAAATAAAATACATGGATCATATTGCTATGAAACGATTCAAGACAGGCTTCTATCAAGACCTCTATATAATGACGTCGGGTGGGTTGGAAAGAGGGTGGGCTTGCCATGACCAAACATTGAGACCTCTCAGATTTAAAAAAGATGCATTATGACTGACAACAGAGAAACACGCAGATCGCTACATCAGAATTACAGCGTTCTGTCTGCTCAACACTTAGTTTTGAGATATTAAAGGTCAACCTTTTTTAGTTTCACAGTACGTCAAGCTTTTTTGAATGCAGAACTTTGAATATCTTGATAACGACTCAGAATATTCTTCCGATTTTGATAGAACAGATAAAACCTTTACTTCCTGAACTCATGGTCTTAGTATCTCAAAAGGGCCCAAAATGTCAGATAAAACTTTGTAGTTCTGAGGTAGGGCTATATAAAATAAAAGGCAACGCAAAAATATAAATAGATTCAAAAGTACTACGATCATGTTAATGGCAATACGACGTTTGAAACTAAACCAGGAAAATGGACTCACCTATTTATCTTTATACATGTACTTACCACTACCTTGGAATAACAACGTTCTATCTGCTTAGTACCTGGTTTTGAGACATTTGACGTCAAAGCTTTCGAGGTAGACGCTTGTTGGTACCAACACACAAGAACGCGTTTACAGTCTGTGAAAGTAACTGAACACATTAAACATTTCTACATTAATTCTGCGACTCATTAAAATATTTGCAGCTTGTTTCAAGAGCGCTCTGGGGGCTCTCGTGGCCTAGAGGTTAAGGTGTTGGCCTCTCATTCAAAGGTCCCGGGTTCGAATCCGGGTAGCGACCAAAAAATTTTCTTCTCTAAAATTGTCTCCTTTCACCTCCTTTCCTGCTCTCTAGCAATGTTCTGTTGTCTGCTTTCATTTCCACTTTCAGCCCCCACCCCCTCACCTCCTTTGCCCCCTTCTCTGGGCTCCTGACTCTTTCTGCAGCCTTTCTACTGCTACTCCTTGGCTCCTCCTTACTGCTGTCTTTCTGCCACACCCCTGATCTTCTGAGAGGAAAGATCTACACCTAGCCTTCTCGGAAAACGGCGAAAAATCTCTGAGGGCCCGTGTGCAAGTTGCGCACGTTTAAGATCCCTTGGTGGTCTAAAATCGATAAGAGTAGGCTTCGGCCGCCACCCGGGCAAAATTCAAAATTTCCTATCAACTGAAAATATTAGGTGTGTCCCGCGCGCTCATATGACCTAATGCAGTTGCAAGCGCCGTAAAACACTGTACAAAAACAAAAAACAAGAGAGGGCTCTTCACACTGTTAGCATGCACTTTTATATTTTCGATAAATGCAACCACTGAATGTGACATGTTGATTATCAATTTTCACTGCAAGTGATTTGGGAAAGATAAACGGACAACCACTTGATTTGTATTCCAAGTGGCTTTTTCTTAGCTTCCGAGCTACATCCTCGTTGTCGCGCTTCCGTACAGAGGATGTGTGAGTGCAGGGACAGGCTACAGCCTCACAGCGCAAAGACAGTTCACGTATACTATTGATTAAAAGTGCAGATAATGTTCGAATATACTATTGACTAACAGTGCAAAGACAGTTCACGTATACTATTGATTAAAAGTGCAGATAATATTCCAATATACTACTATTGACTAACAGTGCAGAGACAGTTCAAGCGTATTATTGATTAAAAGTGCAGATAATATTCGAATATACCATTGACTAACTGTGCCGAGACTGTTCGAGCATACTATTCACTAACAGTACAGAGGAAATTCAAGTATACTATAGCCTTAGTGTTTGTCCGCACCAAAAGCAGTAGCTGCGCAGTAGCTGAGTTGAGCCGCTATGAGCAGTTCTAGCAGTAAGCTCGAGTGTCCGCACCAAGAGCTGTTTTGGTTAGCTGTCAAGTAGCAGTCAGCTCGCTGGTTTCTCGTGCACTGCTCAGTATCAGCTTGTATGTTCTCATCAAAAGCAGTATAAAAGCAATGTGTACTAGCTCTCTCTGCTAGCTCGCTGCTTGTATCAGAGACAGTTCATAACATGGCGGTCCGTAAAATATGTTTGATTCTTTTGAAGGAAACTTTAATACTATTGACACAGTCTCTTGTATTTGATGACGAGAAAGAATACTAGGTTCATCCCAATAATGCCAAAGCAGACACAAGTTAATCTTGTCTGCAATTTCTTGAAATTGTCTTCTCTTTGCTTCTCTGTTCATAAAGTTGAGGTCCCGTTTCGCCACAGGTATGGATATTCCTGGATTAAACTTATGAACTCAAAAGTTTTGGCACTATCCATTGTTTTGTTTCTGTTTTGTTGTACAGGCTTTCAAGGGGAGAACGCAGAAGCTGTCTCCAGCTGTCTTGAGGTAATCGAGATATCTTGGCGAGGTTTGACAGGAAATTTCGGGAGTGCTAATTTTAGAAATGACGAAATCACTGCTAGCATTGAGCGGTAGTAAATGCGGGGATGTAATTTTACTGCTCACTGCTAGCTAGCAGTGCACTGCTCAATACGGCTCGGCTACTGCTTTTGGTGCGAACTGCGTATAAAAAATGTTACTAATACTAGTAAAAGTACCCTTTCTACGAACGAAATAATAATGAAGAAGTATTAGGAAAGTTAAGAACAGGAAAAAGACTGAAAACAGGGAAGAAATAAAACAAAAATATTTTACCTTGAATTTACCCATGTAGCACCCCTCTTGACTACCTCTAGGGATAAGACTTCTTCCCCCTCTTCGAAGGCGTGGCATTTTCTCCTAAAGTTATAGCTCAGTCACTTTAAAAAATAGGCCTACATGCCAATTGTTGCTTCCTAGAAGAACCTAATCTAGATTCTAGATCTAGCCTAGATCTCGAAGGATTATGACATAGGCCAACAAATTGAAAGAAGGAGCCTAGGCCCAGAGATAGATCTAGTTTAGAAATTCACCTTTTTAATAAACCGCCAGGGTCACAGATGGCCTAGATTTCTAGATCTATTCACTGCAGGAAAAGTCCACTTTCAATAATATTTTCATGATTCTTGACCTCGATCTAGATTCATCGACAGCCAAGTCCTAGACTCTAGATCTATTCCCAGCGGGGGAAAATCCACGTGCAATACTTTCATCATTTTTGATCTCGATCTAAGATTCACGTATAGATCTAGCCTAGATCTAGATCCTAGAATCTATAATGCACAGCAAGAACACTTTCAATATTCAACAGGTTATCGAAACATTACATAATATCTAGATTCTACTTTCATTTCATGATTCTTCTTGATCTCGATATAGATCTAGATTCTAGATTCTAGATCTCATCTAGGCACTGTGCACAAAATACACCCATCCTTCGGAATGCGCGCTAAATCCACTGCTGGAGAAATCCACTTTCAATACCTTCATGATTTTTTATCTTGATCTAGATATTAAATCTAGACATACTCATACATCACACTACACGCAGTGCGTAATCCGGGCTACAATTGGCTGAACCTTTGACTTTGACCTATGAATACATCAAGGAAGCCTGCGGTAGGCTATTCTTGGCGCTTTCGACGACACCCTCCCTGTCACTCTCACCACTCTCCCTCTGCAGTGCTTTCTGGCTT